AACATTAATAACATAGTGAAGTGCTGTACAGTAGTGCAGTGGATAGCTTAGCTTCATGTTCCCCAGTTCGGGTTACTGTGTGCATTGTTACACGTGTGCATGTTGTCCATGTGGGTTTCCGCTGGGTTCTTCAATTTCCTCCTACCTTCTAAAAACATGCATGTAGATGGATTGACTAGACTGAACTATGATTAACCTGCCCCAGGATGTCAATGTGTGTGTGCACTATGTGTCTGCAATGGACTGGCATCCCATCCTGGGTTTTTTCCCCATCTTGCACCCCACTGGTCCCAGAGCAAACCTATTTCATTAGCATTCTATTAACCAACAGTTATAAAAGTCCAGAAAAAAGTGTTAATGATCTAACTGAGCACTTACTAACAGTGTACTCAAGGTCCATTCCTAAATGTTAATCTATCAGTCCATCAAAGACTGTCCATTATCATATGCTTGCCATGGGTTGGTACCTCATCCAGGGTGTCCCCTGACTTGTGCCCCGAGTTCCCTGGGATAGGCTACAGGCTCCCCTGCAACCCTGTGTAGGATGAGCAGTACAGAAAATGGATGGATGGATGGATAAATGGATGAGAATTCATCTAAAATGTTTCAAATTTTATTATTTTATTTGTCACAGCTGCACCTTAGTATGGCATAAGAAGCGTGCAGGCTTATAGATGCTTAGAAATGAAAGAAACTCACAGAAATGACTCACTTACTCATACACTTATTCCCATCAGCCCGATGATCCATGCCACTCCATGCACGAAAGCTTGTAATGAGTTAGACATTGAGATCAATTATACACTTCGAAACATAATAGCAATAATAATACAGAGAAGGGCAATAATGATAGTAATAACTGCTATTGATCAGACTATTATGAGGCTGAATATTGCCGCCTGAGCGAGTGAGCTAAATGTTAATTTCAGCAGATGAAAAATGTCAGGCATGAGCAGAAACGACTCGCCAGTTGGAAAGAATCGCTCACACAGTGCACTGGATAATTGCTAATCCATTTTATGCCTGCCATAACACAAAGAGATTAATATCACACCTGGATTAAACAACTTTATTGTTGTTTCTGGGGTTCAAAGTATACTTGAACTACAACAGTAGCAATTAGTGAAGTTTTAGGGTATTCATTTATAGGGCTGGGTATTGCGACCGATTTGGTGATTCGATTCTTATTTATATGATTTCGATTCGATTTCAATTTTGATTCAATGCAATATCGACTATTTATCAATATTTCATTTAAAATGTTAGTTTTGCAGACAGGGAATCCATGTTTTAATATAAATGCTGGTAACTAAAACCCTCCTACTTAACTATATTACTGAAATACACATCTACATTAGCAATTGTGCCCCACACAATTATGTTGAATATCTTTTTACTTTTACTTTGAGTAACAAACATTGTAACAAGAAATCATAAATATGTGCATACAATGCACACAAGGTAAGCACAAACTACACAATGCACATTACTGTAAAAACAAAACACACACATTGTAAATGTGCAGCAGTGAAATTCATTAGCAACTTGAAACGTGTTTAAGAAATAAAACCGTTTTCAAAATTCAAAACATGACAGTTGGCGACATCTTCAGGATGAGAGCAGAACTACAGGCAATTTTCAAGTTAAGCACGTGCATTAATAAGTATCGTTTCGTTAAGTATCGATATCGTTTCGTTAAATTGAACCTCGATTAAAATCGATTTTTTTTTACCCAGGCCTATTAGTTTATGACACTAAGTATAGTAAGTTGTATAGGCATGCTTAAGGATAGGATGAGATTATATAATTCAGTTTCAGTTGGCACCACAGCCTAAAATTCATGTGGTTCATGTGATCCAAACGCTGTTGCCATCAGCGGATAGTTGTCCAAGAGAGCATAATTGGCCCTGTTCTCTGGTTGAAAATGGGCAACCCATATCCCTCTCCCTCTGTCAATTAGTTACAGAAGTGTGTCTGTTCAAGTAAAATGATTTTATGATTTTAGAGCAGTTAGCACAGATGCTTGGATTGGATTTTTCTCTTTTGCGTCTGGCTCGTATGTATTGGGCCCTGATTTTGATTCTTGGAGAAGCTGAAAGTGACTATATGATTACAGTCAAAAGTCTGCAATGAAGAAGAAAAGGAATAGCATGCAACGGACCATGCTGGGGTGGTGTCATACAGTCCATCTTGAAGTGGAATAATACCAAAGTGGATTCCTATAACAGCACAGCCTGAAGTGTTATTTTCTCTTATACCACAGTGATTTGTCAGCCATTAAAATTTATATTTCTTAATGAACAACACATGGCACTTTTTAACCATTTATAATTATGTTTAAAGTTGTGGAATGTCTCAAAACAAGCTAGTTCTTGTTATCACATACATTATAGCAGCTATACAGTTGTTCCCTTACCAGCCTTGTTTTGTTTTTTTACTTTTCTTGAAGTTACAATGCAAAAAGACAAAAAATGCAGTGTGATATGTTACTGAAAAACCAGAAAGCTATCATGATAGGAACTATTTATGTTACAGCTGGAACTGCTGCTGGTGCCATACTGTTATAGAAAATCAATCCACACCTTATGAATCAAGATTTCAAACATACTGTGGTATAAAGAAACTTAATTTCTAGCAAGACGTTCAGTGTGTTTGGTTCCTCAAATGTTCTGGCATTAAGCTATTTAAACATACAGATGGGGATCTACAGTTTTTACTTAATATAACGTCGGACCAACCCTTTCTGTTCAGGTCAAAAGACTTCTTACACGTTAGTTTTTACAAAAGTGGAGCAATACAAAAACAAAATATTCTTTCTCCAATAAACATGAACATTGTTTTTCTTGACACTGGCCATCAACAGCTTTTCTGGATTATGGTGTACCTTCTCTCTTACAGCTAACAGTGTTTGATTTTGTTCACACATCAATAGTGATGTACTGTACCAATCCTTATATCTTGTGTTTGATTTGTGAAGAAAAAAATCCACCTCAGAAATAGATGCATGTCAGCTGAAGTCTTAAAAATACAGAATTGTCCTAAATGTGTTTCCATAAAAGGTTTGGCACATGCCGTGCTCAGCACCTTTTTTCCTCTAAACTGCGTTCAAAGGCATTCAAGTGAATCTTGAGTCTTTTACTGTTTTATCTTCGGTTGACTGAAACGTGCCAAATGAGTAAATCAAACATAAGTGTGTTATCAGATTTTATGTAAAATGGCTGAGTGGAATGTCTGAAGGAAAGGGCTCTAATCAAAAACACTTCATTATTTCTGCCAGCCTTATCGCAAGCACCACGTGCAGATGAACTGATTTAATATTATTAAACATGAGTTGTATGAAATTTCCACGTGAAAGTTTGATTGTTGGAAAATGTGTGTACCTGTCTGTGAAATAGGGACTATGCAAAAATATTCTTTCATCATTTAAAACATTGTAATGTACCAAGACTTAAGTGACTGAATGAAATAAGAGACAAAGCACCGTGTAGAAAATTATAATGTAAATCAATAAAATCAATTCAATTCAGTTTTAACTGTATAGTGCTTTTAACAATGGACATTGTCCCAAAGCTGCTTTACAGAAACATATAAACACAGGATACACATTTTAAATGTGTGAATTTATCCCCATTGAACGAGCAAGTGGCAACGGTGGTGAGGAAAAACTCCCTAAGAAGATATGAGAAAGAAACCTTGAGAGGAAGCAGACTTGGAAGGGAACCCGTCCTCATCTTGGTAACAATGGATAGTGTGAAAGTAAAAGAAAGTACAATATGGTTTTTATATGAAGTCTATTTTGTTGAACTAGTCCACTGTTCACTAAAGGAGACCTGAGTGCAGAACTGCATGTGGTAATTGCAGTCCCAAGGCCATCGCAGCAACCGTAGTTCCAGGAACCAAGAAAACATTTATAGTCTTAAAGTCATGTGGAGCCTTACATAAACATTTCAACATTTTGGAATACTATACACACGTTTTCACACACGTGGTGATGATTAAAATATTCCATTTGATGCTAAATTTGAGTCGCTACATAAAGCAATCCTAACTACAACACTGTTCAACATTACTATGAACAGTCCAGCATTTTGAGAGCTTTTAACTGCTTTCACATTGTAATGTTGCGATATATTCCATTAAATTGTAGTTCTTTCAATTACAAAATATAAATTAATGACTCGCTGACAAGAAAATAAAATTCCATAATGTTAAGAATTAAAAGTGGGTTCATCCAAGACAAGAAGACAACATTCTAATGCATAAGGCTTTAGAATTTTTATTTATTTATTTATTTTTTTGTTATACAGACATTTGCGATGGTTTTAGGTAGTTATTAGGGGTATTTGAAGCACAACAGAAAATGTTCACAGAATATTGCTTATACAAAGCCACTAGGCTCTTGCATTGATATTTATTTCTGCCATGATTTTAATGGCAATCGTTTAGTGGATTGTTCTGAATTATTGGCTTCTCCAATAACAATGGGAATAAGACACACACACACACACACACACACAAAGCTGCTCACAGAAGACAAGGCAAGCTCAGTTAATTTCTATAGCACATTTCATACACAATTTCTTTACAAATAAAAAGGAAAGTATACATGAACCATTTATATTAAATGATCAAATGAATTTAAGATATAAAAGTTAAATTGAAATGAATAAAATGTAATAAAAAGCATAAAGTGCATTAAATAAAAATGATGTATCAGCTTTCCATGATCATTCTCAGTATTGATCAAATAGGTAGGTTTTCAGCCTTGGTCTTGTCAGGGCATTTCTAAGGTCTCAGTTGTTTCCATCTAAAAGCAGCATACAAGCTAAAATCTCAGAGTTTAGTGTTTTCCTTAGGTACAATTAACTGTTGAGTCCCTAATGATCTAAGCATCATTTCATTTACATTTAATGCATCCAGGGCAACTTACATTTATCCCTTTTACACAAGTGAGCAGTTGAGGGTTAAGGGCCTTGCTCAAGGGTCCGGCGGTGGCAGCTTGGCAGTGCTGGGATTTGGACTCACGACCTTCCGATCGATAGTGCAACGTCTTACCCACTGAGCTACAACTGCCTAGTCATGCTCGGCTTTATATTGTTTGAGCATATCAGACAGATCTGTTATCCCTGTACCATGTAGTGATTTAAAGACAAGTGCTAGCACCTTACAGTCAATTCTGTAACACTTCTAAGAATCAGGGGGATGTGAACCATTCGTTTGGTGCTTGTGAGAACTCTGGCAGCAGCATTTTGAATCAGCTGAAGCTGTTTGTCCTTTCTTTCTTTCTTTCTTTCTTTCTTTATTTAGAAAGAGCTATCAGAAGACCATTACAGTAATCAACTCTGCAATCCATAAAAGCATGGGCTAGTTTCTCAAGGTCTTATTATGAGAAAATAATTGCTTTGACATTACTGCTAATACTGAGCTCAAAGTCCATTAGAACTCCACGAACCTGAACATTACAAACCTGTTCTTTTGATTTGAGGGCTTTAGAGACAAGATAAGCAGCAAGTCTATGCCTCTCATCTTCCCTCCCAGATAAAATAATCTCTGTTTTAGAAAGGATTTCTTCATTAACATTTAGATAGTAATCATTTACATGGAATTACGCAGTGTCCAAGAAAAGTATTAACAAATCAAAACTATTGTATATATCTTAAATTAGTAACAGTATTCCTAATAATGCTTTGCACACACTTGGCATCTTTTAAAGCAGCTTCATGTGGGAGCTTCACCCAGGAAACATTTCTTAAAGATCTCAAATAGGCCAAGCTCCCCAATGCTCACTAAATTCTACACTTTTGACTGATCGTGTACTTGCAGTGTAAACAGTACAGCATAGTAAATATATATCAGTTTAGTTTCGAGAGAAGGGCTGACATGCTTCCTCGACCACACCACCACCACATCCTTCAAGCTGTCACTCAATTTGAAGTGCAGCTTGAATCAAAAGAGAGTCAAGCTGTTAAGTGAGATTTTTTTTTTTATCCAGGCTTTTCCAAGAATCATAGTCAGAATCCATGCAGAACCCATGCAGACATGCCAAGCAGTCAATTGTGGTACAAAACTGGAATCAAAACAAGGCGACAAGACAGTGGAAGCTATGTATTGTACTTGCAGCAATGTTTCCTTAACCAGTTGAATAACACAGGAACCACTTAGCTTTAAATTATAGACTTTAGAATCCTCTGTGAGAAATTTGCACCTTCCTTCCAGCCTCCAGACCAAATGTGTTTTAATCTAAAATTGCACAGCGCCTTGCGCTGCTTGTGTTATCTCTCCTCCAACCCACCTGAATCCACTCGGCTGTTAATAATCAGGCTGTGCAGGTGAAAAGAAGCAAAACAGTCATTTAAGGCTCCCTACAGCTGACGTGGGCCGTTGCAGCTGGAAACCTTTTTGAAGCAATGGGATGTGCAAATGAAAAATATTTCCAGTCAGCCTAGAATTCAATTCTAAGGATGTTAGCTACATAAATTCAGGCTAACATGACATATCTCTGTAAACTGATTTTGCAATTGTTCAAAGCAAAACTTGTTGATGCTCAGAATGAGCATTACTGCCTTTAACGGTATAACCATTAATTTTCCATACAGCATATTCACATACTACAGACAATGTTGGAAATGCCAGTCAAGAAGAATATGCTAACTCTGTGCACACAGGGCAGAGTGGTATTCGAACCGCCAACTCCGGAGGTGTTGATGATCATCAACATCCGATGATCAGGGCCGATTATATCCTGTCAATCAGAAGAGGGTGGGAAAACAAATCGATTTTGTTCAGTGTATACAGATTATGTCTCTTGTGTGGAATGATGACAAAACTGCAGTGTGTAACCTCTAATCTTTAATTTTACACCGGACGCTGCAGCAGTGAAGTGGGAGTTTCGGTGTTGAGTCTAATGATTTATTTATTTTTTTTGCCGAGCTGCTCGAGCTGAATTAAAGGGCCAGTACACTGATGAAAGATTTAAATGAAGATGTGTTGACAAAAAAAGATAATATTGCACAGAAAAAATATTTGTAAAGTAGTAATATTTCATATCCAGTTAATGTTAATATATTTATATAAAAATTTTAAAAAGTTTATATTATATACAGTGAGAGAAAGAAGTATTTGATCCCCTGCTGATTTTGTACATTTGCCCACTGATCAAATACTTCTTTCCCTCACTGTATTACCAGTTTGATGTTCAGTGATGAAGAAATGCTTTTGTTTGTGGTGAGTGAATGTGAGACTAACAGGTTTTTTTTAGATTTCAGTCAATGTTAATATGAATTAATAACATTCAATAAGTTAAGAAATCTATCTTTAATCTTCAGAATTAAGTTCTGCAGTGTGTTATTGTTAAATAGAGTAATGAGTTTTCTGTTTATGAGACCAGTTACTGTGAAACAACTTGTTGAAATGGAGAGAATAAAGTTATTGTTTGCAATTCTTTCAGAGTTATGGAATTGATTATTATAAATTTAACAAATGGTATAAAAGGCAGAACCAGCAAACTATCAGAATTGGTAATGGTGATATCACTATGAATCATCGGTTATTGGTATCGGCTGAGATATTTAGTATCGGTGCATCTCTAGTATATAATATCTCCTTTTTTTGGTAAATTCATCCTAACATGAAAATCAAAAGTTTTAAAATGTACAGAAAACAAAATAATTCGACATATAATTCATACAAAATATGTACAAAATATTGAAGTAATCCATCATCATGTAACATGCAGTGTGTAGACACACAAGTGCATAAACTCAGTATTTAGGTTTCCATTTTCAGTTGATTAAAACATCAATGTGAGATCCATTCAGATTCTGTGCAGCATATAATATATAACATAGAGCAAAAGCTGTGCATTAAAATGTAACCTGATTATACATGGCTAATTATTATAAAATCAGCTCTCCGGCCAACCTGTCATTGGTGTGCAGGGTTGCCAGCTCTCAGCAAAAGCTTCATCTCAAATACATAAAAAAAAAAAAAAAAAACACTTCCCTAAAACTTAAGCTCTGAAATTGAAAACGAGAAGCAAAGTTAACCATGGAGGGCACACATTTCTGATTTGTTGTTTCAAAATGACCTGTAATAAAATAATAACAAACTTAGCAACTCTAATAGTGTAACTCAAGGGGCGTTTTTGAAACATGGAGTGCTTTATTTCACAATCTGCTGAGGTACTAAATTGAGAGCCTTGCATCAAACAACATGATACGATGCATCGTTAAACTGTATGAGAATTGGTGAACAGAATCAAGCAACACATCTATGGCAGGACAGTGTAGCGTTCATTACAGCACATGGCGTTCATTACAATGGGAAGGTTGTGTCTTTTTTTCATATTTCATACTTATGTGGTCTCTTTCATTTTTGTCACATTGTATTACATTTGTCAGCGAAGGAAAAAGTCAATTGCTTTCTAAGTCTGCAATTTTTATACCTAAATTTTTGAGCTTGTGTTTTAAAGTTTAAAGGCGATCTATTGACAATCAGACGCTTTCAATCCGCTGCTGAGGATTGCCATGTGATTGTTGTGGATGTTACCACAGGGATACCCTAAAGATTGCTTAAAGATGCAATCTCATATGGACAATGGAAAGATGTCTTTTGTCCGATTGGTCACCACTACATGAAATTGATTGAAGTTCTTGCCACTCGCTATCCAACAATTCCTCACACATTTTTTTTGTGTTGGAAATGAATGGGAGTGTAATTTTGGGTGACAAATTTGTATGCAGTGGACACGTACTCTTAGTCCCACCTTCATTAACTAGTCAGTATGGCCTTTCACTATCTTGTTTTTAATAAGTAGCTCAAAACAAAGAGAGCCATTTGTTTCACTTGTCTGCATAACTGTGAAACGCATTTTAAGCAGGAAATTTTAATTTGCTTCCTGTCAGCAGAATCTGATATGTCATGTCTGAATGGTGAAGGCAGCAGAGATTCGAGCTTACTGAAATTTGATAGAAAGTGTAAAATGCCAACATTATTACAGGCTCTAATGGAATCAGAGGTATCAGACCTGTGAGAAAGATAAAATACAAGGGTACAGTAGGTGTTTAGGCTTGAGAATGACAAATGTCACTGTAAAAACTGTGTGAACATTATTGGTGGTATCAAGTGAAGCATTCAGGAAATATCCATATTCCTGTTAATGAAACACATATGCAGACACAAGTTGTGTCATATACAGCATGAGGTCAGTAGTCGAGACAGTCCCTATATTTTTTTCCCTTTAAATTTTACAAAATACAGACCATTTTTAAGAATTACACTCAGGGTGAATCAGCTGCTGCTCCTGGACGTAGATTTTCATGGAATTTCGTGAATTGTAGAATAACCCCATAATAGCCTGTTAAGAGTCGACAACATACTGCAGTGGTAGCACTACTTGTATTGTTCTGCGCTTAATAGATCACTTTGCTTGTATTTCCTCATTTGTAAGTCTCTTTGAATAAAAGCATCTGCAAAATTAATAAATGTAACTGCAAATGAACAAATATTTGTGGGCACCTGACCAGCACATCCATATTTTGCGATTCCCAAAACTGTTGCCACAAAGTTGGAAGCATACAATTGTCTAGAATGTTTTTGTATGTTATAGCATTACAGTTTCTCTTCACTGGAACTAATAGGCCCAAACATGTTCCAGCATGTCCCTGGGCACAAAGTGAGGTCCATGAAGACATAGTTTGCATAGGTTGGTGTAGAAGAACTCCAGTGGCCTGCGCAGAACACGGACCTAAACACTTTTGACCCCACTGAACATTTTTGGGATGAACTGGATCATTGACTGCACCCCAGGCCCAAAATCATTACTTAACTTCAATTATGCCCTTGTGGCTGAATGGAGAAAACCCACACAGTCACTTTTCAAAATCTAGAGGAAAGCCTTCCCAGAAGATTATTATTATTAACAGTAAAACGTGGACTAAATTTGGAATGGGTTGTTCAAAGAAGTGTGATATTCAGGTCCCTACAAACTTTCGGCCACATAGTCTACATTTCAGTACTGTATATGTGTTTCCTGCTACATGTGTACAAGGCAAATAGAGAAGAGCTAATGTAATT